TGGCTCCCCGAACATTCCCGAACATTTCTTAAATCACCCATAGCTCTTTGTTGTCTCCACCACTTTCTGAAACCAATAGTCCGTTAGAACCCTATCGGAATAACGTATCCAATTCATTATCCCATTAGAGTTTCTGACTACGTTTCAGGGGGCTAAGTGTAATTATCGATACCACAGGGACCTTACAGTTATTTAAGCTTACCTCAGGGGGGTGTGTGTAATTTACCCTAAAATAAAATTAGATGGTAAGTAAAGGGGTGACGGTAAGATATTATTTAGATGTGGGACCCACAAAATTGAACTCATCCCACGTGGCGCAGGGAGCAGTTGCCAGAATATATTTTCCTTAAATGGAAATCTCACCATTAAATTACCCAAAAAAAAAAATTAAAATTAAATGGAATTCGAATTCCCCAACAAACTTATTTAATTCCATCATGTGGTCACATGATGTGTGTACAATGTATGTATGTGCGTGGCTATATTTTATTTCCAACCACTCGTGCTAACCATGAAAAAAACCCTCTCATTATTGATTTCTTTTTTAAGGATTAATTTTAATTATTTTTGTTAAATTAATTAATGTGACAATTGCAAATATGGCTCACAAGAAACACATTTATTTTATAAGTACTCTAAACATCTTACATAACTTGAGGTGCATGATTTACATCTCCCAAACAAATTCCAAATTCTCCAAAATTATAGAGTAACCTCATTATGTAGAGTTTTTATTTAATATATCATATTATTATTTAGATTGAGTTCAGCACACACAAGCGCCGGCCGATGATTGTGGACCGTTCATACTCAGTTCTCCGTCACGTGGACAATTGCTGCCACATTCAGACTAACGAGTTTTAGAACCCCTAACGAGCGTTTATGAACAACAAAAAGTTGAACTTTTAATATAGTTTGCAGACAATCGTTGGTGGTGAAATCCGGGTTTTTTTCCCCTTCAATTTAATAATTAAAAAAAAATCTTCATCCCTACTCTTAAGATTACCTAGTTTCATCCCTATTCACTCACACTCAACATGAAACAATTCCATAAAAATAATAAAACATTTTCTTTAAAAATATATATTTATGTAATTTATACATAATATGAAATGACAAGGGGTATGTAATATGTATGTATGTGTATGTATTTTGTAAATAAAGGTAATTAAATGATTAATGAATATGGGAAAAAAGGGGACAAGAGAGGCAAAAGATGGGCCCAAGGTTAGCAAAACAAAGGGACAATTGTCTGAAAATGGACCCATTTATTAGCTGGATTTTTAGAAAGCCCATTATCATTTTGTATGGGAACAAACATCTTTGTACCCTATTCTATTGCCTTTATTACTTTCGACAAAATTCCATCTTTCTAAATAGGTTCAATGTAATATTCCAACCACACTATTTTAATCTTTTTAATAGAATTTATGTAGCTTCAAATCATATGCAAAAGAGCATGTGAATAATATACAATATACACATTTTTAGTGGCTAGATTTTAATTTAATTATTGGGGTATGGAATAAGTTAAAAAAGTAGCTCGACTCTTTTTTCTTTTCTTCGATAATGAAAGAACACGCAACCAATTATATAAGTGCACTGTGTAAATCTACAGTCTCACATAATAGCTTCCAAACCATACGAGGGAAGTAACTCAACTTTAGATTCTAGTAGGGTTGAAAGAATATCAAATGAAGAATTTTGAATATATAATAACATATACATTTACTTTGTCTTCGAGGAATTAAGAACGATTTTAAAAATACTTTACAAAAAGTTATTTAATAAACTATTTAGGATATATCGACTCAACGTTAAAATAAATCGCTTTGTTTGTTTTAATTTCCGCCAAATTATTATATACTTTTATTTTCGAATTAAGTAATTATGCATCTAAATATAACCATATTAATTAAAAACTAAAATAATTGATATTGACATGATGTCTACGTCCAAAGTCTCATACTAACCATTACATTTAGAAATTGACAATACATCTATATTAAAAATAAAATAAAAATATATTCCAACATTTATAATTGACATAACTTTATACAATTCTTCCTTTTCGTTTCACCATAAAAATAGAAGTCTTGAGAAAGTATTTCTCAAAAGAATTGAAAATAACACCAAACAAAATTACTTTGACTGTCGTACTATAGTTGGCTCAAAGTAAATATATATATATATATATATATATATATATATATATATATATATAAATGTGGAGTAGGGATGTTGTTCCATAGATACACCATGTGCAACAAGTATCTAAGTAGGATAAACATATATACAAGTTTAAAAAACTATTCGCAAAAGAAAAATTCACTTCGAAACTTCCCATGAATAACTGGCGAAAACTAGAAAATAAAGAAGAATTGAAGAAATTCAGAACTTCAACAAATCACGTGCCCATATCGCCATATGGCATTCTTCAAACATTATGGATTTCTTCTTACCATATCGCGATATAGGATGAAATATCTTGTGATATGGGAGAATTGCAAGCTATATGTTTCGTTTTGTCCCATATCACAATATGGACGCTAATATCGCGATATGATCACTGTGTCAGCTTCAAACTCCGATTTGACTCAGTTCCCGCTCGTATTGGACAAAATTGTATTTCTTGAACGTTGCAGTCTTGAAGTTGGCTTTCTAACTTCATTGAATCATCTCAATCGTAAGTCGTAGGAAGGAGTACTTATGCTTGAAACATCAAACATTGCGACAGTCCACTAGAATGCACTGTTACATATAGTTGGATGTAATTCGCTTCTGAAATCATTTCGAATCGACAAAGAATATACAACATTTTTATCAAAAACTGAAATAAAACTAAGAATTCATAAGATATACACAGATAAAGCCGAACACAGCTCGGATGAACGAAGACCAAAACTCGAGGATATGATTACACAAGTAATAAGTGCAAAACAAACACTTAATAAAATTTCAAATAAATAACATTTATTATTTTTATAGTTTAATTTAGTATATAATAATAACATCAAACAAAATAAATAGGCCAATTAAATTGTAGTCACATTTGTGGGTGAGTGATCCGAGGGTAAGAAGAGCACATGATCATGCATGGTGGCATTTAACCCCTTTGACTGTACTTTGACGACGACGATGTAACCAAAGCCCCATCATGCTCATCACTGCACATTCCCATTAACAGCTGACAGTAAAAACTAAAAATAATAAATTAAATTAGTAAAATTAATTAATTTAATTAACGTTGTAATCCACGTCTTAGTGTAATTGCCAGATAATCACTGTTTAGATCAATGTTTGTCTGGAACTATTTCCCAAATATCTTTCATGTGTCTTCTCTTTCAAATTTCATTGAGATTTTCAATTTCATTTATATATATATTTATAGAGTAACTTTCTTTAATAAATATTAAATAATAATAATCCACTCCAATTAATTAATTTATAGACCCCTTCAAGAAACATCCTTACCTTTACCATAACTCAAGTCACATATTATTAATAAGTAACATATTTTAATTGGACTATACACTTGATCATGAACACTAGTAATAATTAATTTGAAATATTATTTATTTTTTAATGAAAAATTGAGTAGTCTAAGAAATGAATCTATCAATATTTAAAAATGAGTTAAGCCCAAAAGAAGAAGGACCTAATTGTTGTAATAAAAATGAAGGCCCAAGAGAAAGGCATTAAAAAGATTGAAATGTGTGCGCACGTGCATACATGTGTGCAAATCCTGGTGGGAATTCTGAATTGCCATATGCACACGTGCAGACATGTGTGTGTGAGTGCGTGTTTTAATTTTCTTTGGAGTGGAAAGGAAGTGAGTGCATGTGAATTTTCCCACTTAAAAACACACATATGACATAACACATTTAAGAAAAAAATAAATATTATTTTTCCTCAGTTAAAAACGCATTAATTACTACAAGATAAGTACAATTAGGCCTGGATTAATTTGATTGTCAATATAAAATTGGTGAAAATAAGATTAAATAACCTAATCACAGTCCAATTATCTTGCTAGGGCAAGATAAAATCAAGATAATATAATATTTGCAGTTCGACACGATAATTTATCAGCGATACCAAACATCGAACAAAGTACAATAATTATACAAGGACTAATCTCCCTAATCAAACGAGGCCTTCGGAAATAATTTAATCTACGTTTTAATGCTCCTACTACACAATAAAAAAAAAAGAATCCTATAGGAATTTCTTTACTATATTAATAATACAATGATTTTTTTTTTTAAATAGAAAATACTGAATAAAATAGATCCATAAAAGAATCTGATGCACAGTTTAGTTTTACTGAAGTACCATCTTGCTGATAAGTACATATTTATTTCTTTTTCAGAAATAAAAAAAATTAAAAGAAAAAAGAAGAAAAGCAAAATTTTGAACATCTAGTGGTCAAACTGACCTAGTTTTTTTTTTGACTGGCTGCATTACCATATGTCTTTTCTTGATCCTATCCCTTTTTATTTTAATTTTTTTTTTATCTGGCAACATAGTACAATTAACTAATTATTAATTAGTTAAATGTTGATCCAATTTTGGAACTAACACTAACAAGTTAATTGTTTAATTCCGGAAAAAGAATAAATAAAATTACAGAGTTTTGATATAGAATTAAAGAAAGCAGCTTTTTTCAGACCTAATAACCAAAGAATGTGATATTAAGGCCACATGCAATTTCATATATAGTAATAAAACATGAGAAATTCGAATTTTGAATTAGCTAGCTGGAGGCAATATATATCATAGGTCTCAATCCTTGTGGGATTTAATGATTTATTCAAGAACAGAATAATAATTAGTCACGTTTTATTTATTTTTCTGATAACGAAAAGAATGCATAATCAACTATATATGTGTACTGGATTAACATACACTCTCGTATAATAGCTTGCAGACTTGGTACGAGACGTCAATCACACTTGACTAACCATGGGTCACGTTTTATGTCCGAAATCGTGTTTAGAAATTCCATGCCATTCAATTGGAGAATTTTTTTCAAGAGAATTAAAAAATTGATCAAAATCGACATAATTAATTAATTGATTAATATTTAGGCCAAGATACATATAATCGAACGGTATAGGGATATACTCACATGCAACTCTAATCATTATCGACAACCGTAACCTTAATTACTACATTATTGAGATTTTTGTTCGAACAAAATAAATTTCACATATGTTTAGGCCAATTTATAATGAGATTATGATCAAATAAAATAAATAATTTTTTCCCCTACAATTATATCATCTATTTTTGTTAAATTTTGTTTATGACATAGTGATCTCTCTCTCTCTCTCTCTCTCTCTCTCTCTCTCTCTCTCTCTCTCTCTCTCTCTCTCTCTCTCTCTCTCTCTCTCTCTCAAAAAAAAAAAAAAAAATGAAAAAAGAATTGAGTAGGGTAGTGTACCCCGTTTTAGGTTATCAATCCTCGCTGTCTTTGCATGTGAACAATATACCCATATTCATTCCCTCTTCTTCTTCACCCCCCACCCCCTACCCCATGATATATACATATACATATGAATCTATACATACACGAACGCACACACACACACAGTAGACGGTGGCCAACTGGCATTAATGTTTTTTGATTCATTCTTGAAAAGAGTTGAAACATATAATTGTGTTACGTCGCGACAAAACCCTCACACACACACACACACACACAATTGTTTATTAGTATAGGATTTTCATTCGTCGTCGTTATCTCTCAGTCTCTCACTTTCTCTCTCTATATATATCTCTAGAGAGAGAAAACATTAACACACAGTATCACAAAAACGAAAGCGAAACAAACAAATAATGGATTACAACATGTTCGGAAACGACGTCGATCGAGAATGCAGCAGCGGGTGCGAGTCCGGCTGGACTCTCTACCTCCAACACTCTTCTTCTTCTCCCTACCTTTCCTGTAATATTAATAATAATTATCAAGAACACGATTCCGCCATTGATGCTGGCAGAAGAAGAAGAAGAAGAAATATTACAGAAGAAGCCAAGAGATTAAAAGAAGAAGACGATGAAGAAGAAGAAGACGAGGATTTGTCAATGGTTTCCGACGCTTCTTCTGGGCCACCACATAATAATAATTTGCACGAACAAGATTACAGCTATGGCGGGAACGGGTTTTTCTGTAAATACGCCGTTGATGAAGACCGGAATAACAGTAACGCCGTTATTAGCAGGAAAAAGAACAGAGATAACCGACGTCGTATTAAGCCTGGTCAAGACCAGTCAACGTTGCTTGACGATACTGCTAGTTCTCCTTTCTTCGATTTCTCCGATGTAAGTTCTATTATTATTATTATTATTATTATTATATTATTATATATTATTACTATTTATTATAATTACTAATTTTAGGTTAATTTATCTTCATTACAGAAAACGTTCACCCACCACCCTCCGCCGGAGAATATACCGGAATATTCCCAAGGATATTCCTCCACCGTACAGTTTGAAGTACGTTACATTATAAGTTGCTACATTTTAATTAAAAAACACGCTTTAACTTATTCTGAAAACACGTTTTTAATTAATTACCATTTTTAATTTTTTTAATTTTTAATTTGCTTAGGTGAGACCTCCATATCAAGAGCACTACGATTTCTTTCAATCCCCACACCAAAACCAGTTGAGTTTCCTTTAATCTTCTTTTTTTTTTTTAATTTGGAAATAAAAAAATCATTTATTTATTTATTTATTAATTTAATTGAAGCAGGTGGTTTGAAGGTTAAAGAAGGTGATGGATGCCACGAGGGCAGGTTTTCTTACAAGGCAAAAGGAGAACTGAATCTTTATAAGGGATTTTTTTTTTTTTTTTTGTCTCTCTTCTTTACTTAAAAGAGAAAAAGAAGAAGTTGAATTTCATTTTAAATTTGTTTAAGGAATCAAGATTTTCTTGTCTGCAAATAATTGGGAAATAATTATCGTATATATTTATTTATTTAATGTAATTAAATTTAATTATCGAAACTGGGATTCTTCTACCAAAGGTAACGTTAATAATTGTCAGAAAAAACACACGATTTAATTATTCAGTATATATGTCATATATAATTGTCAGCTACTAAGATATATATTAAGTGGGCCAAATATTTTTTTTTAAGTGGGCCAATTCATTGACATATCCATTACGAGAGAGATTTTTTAATTAATTTTTTTTGGTAATTCAATTAAGGGCAAATTACGGCCACCCCTGAGCTATGGTCAAATTACGCAAACCCCCCTCATGTTAGGGTAATTACAGCCACCTCTCAACTATGTATTTATCTTACGAAAAGACCCATGCAGAGGTAAATTTAGAGATGTTAATTCAGTAAAACCCGGACCAAAATTTCGGTACGCCAACATTTCATTCCGTTTACTGAACTAAATATACGATTTGGTTCGGTAAATAACCGAATTACATAAATTTTACGTAAAAATATTTAAAAGGAGGGGGGTGACTGTAATTATCCAAACAAGAAGGGTTTTTTCGTAATTTAACCATACATTAGGGGGTGGCCGTAATTTGCCCTTCAATTAAACAAACTAATCCAATTTAATAAAATGACAACAAATTTCACATTTCCACCCAATGAAATACATCAAATAATCTTGAACCATTAATCTACACATAATAATACACATACCTATATATATGTATTTAGTTTAGTGGCTGATTACTTATATAGATCATTGGTTCAAAACCACCGGATGTGTTACAAACTTACAACACATGAACCTTTTGCACTAAACAGAACGAAGCCACATGTGCAATTATGACAACACATTTGTTAAGTAGATCAAATTATAGTATTAGTTAAAATTAGTTAGTCACCAAGTATATATAATGTGGTTATACTTATAATTGTATTAAAAGTTAAAATCTTGGTGAAAAATGTTTTTTATTTTATTTTATTTTTTATTTGCTATAATGTGGACAAGACCTAATTGTCTCTTAGTGTGCAGACAATTAGGCTCCACCTTAGTAGTTTCTTGTAACAAAATGATATTTTTTGGGAGATACTATAGTTAATATATGATGAAATAATCAATAATATAAGGGATTAATTAAAAAGGTTGTAATAATATGTTGGAATATTTCATATGCATCTTTATTACTCTTTACAAAGTTGCAGAGATCCTGCCTCACATCTTCCAGACCCAATAATCCAATATATATATATATATATATATATATATATATATATATATATATGGGATTATATTATTATTTTTTTGTTGACAAATGAACTCGCAATTAATACTCAGTGAAAACTAATAATTTCTTTTAAATAATAATTGATTTTGATCCGGACTAAATAAAAATATACTGAATTATTAATTCGATAATTTAATACTTCACTACATTAATACAATTTTGTTAGTTTCGACAATATTAATTTATAATGGTTTAACTGTAACTCAATTATTAAAGTTAAAATCAGATATTTAAATATGAACTATGTATATAGTATTTATCAACTCTCATAAGGGGAGTTGTTACACGGTCTCAATTATTAAACTTAAAAAAGAGATATTTAAATTATAATATTCACCTATTCATTGGCAACATTATTTTAAATTTAAAGTAAGACAAGAAAAATAAATAAATAAAAAGGTAGCAAAGAAACAAATACAATATGGTAGAGAGATGATTAGACTGTTCCTCTTTGATTGCAGTGATTATGTTGGATAGGATCAAGAAGAAGGGTATGGGAGTCAAAGAAGTTGTCTTGCCAACACCCCACCAACACAATTATTTCAAAAATATTAAATAATTATCTTATAATTTATGATAAATTACGAAAAAAAACTACTCTTATTGGATAAATTACAACTACCACCGAACTATGAATTTTCGTACACTTCTACCCTTACGATGTCAAATTTAATGAAATTTTCTACATTATATGGAATATTCCGAATCAAATTTTGAAACAAGATGATCATAAGATGTGTCTCTTGGCTTGTAAATATATCAGATTGTGGTGCATCATAAACTGCATTTCTGAACAGCACGAGTACAAATTGGAGTACATTCCACATAATGATCTAAGCATAATGAGTTTTTTTTTCCTCGTAATTTGACTTTACCGCAGGGGTATAGGTGTAATTGAGCATATATAATAAAGAAAATTAATTGAGGGTAGGAAGACTGTTCCCAATAGTGATGACAAGAAAGAAAGAGTAAAAGTGTAGAAATAATATCTTGTTGTGAAAAAGAAAAAAAAAACTCCTTATCTCAATATCTCTTCTGGTGTATACAGAGAGCAGCTGCTGCTGTGTGTGTAGCTATATTTTGGTAACAGGCCCACAGAGGGAGGGGGAGGCATGTGTTTTGAGGTCAGTTGAGCTGGATTTTTGTACTAGATCACACACTACCACCTAGTACTCTTTTTCTTCATTTTTTGGACAAATCTTACTTTTTATCCCTTCCTATTTTACCCTTTTCCCCCTATTTTCCAACAATATTGTAAGGTGATTGAATAAATTGCTTGAAGCTAAGGGCATACTCACTCGGTTTTGTGTGTAGAAATTACGGTTGATACGTTCACTTTTACGTGGATTTTTGTTTATATTTGTAATTTAACTGGTGGATTTGTATGTGAAAGATGCAAAACGAGAATTAGAGTCTAACATGGTCAAAATCACGTTATAAGTTGCATCTTCTTTTAAAGAGATCGGTATTTACGTTGGTAAGCTCTATGGAAATTCGAACCAAATTTTTCGAGTATTGATAAAAAGAAAAAAAAAAGTTCTGATTTTTCAACAGAATTGGGATTAGTTTTTCACTTACGAAAATTGATTTTTTTCTAAAACTGTCTTAATATCAATGTGATCCGCCTGATTTCCACATCTAGTATTGGTTACATGAAATCAAATAAAAAATATATATGATTTATTTTCCCAAAATCTGTATAGCATGGGTATTATATTATATGAAGCACAAAATGAATAGAGAGTACAAAAAAGAATGATGGTATGAAGAAAATACAGATGGGGATGACATAAATAATAAATGGGAAAGAAATGCAAATTTTGTAGAGACAGTTGTCATTGCCATCTTAAAGTGTCGTGTCAGGGTATATTAGGGAGTCTACTGGACCACAATTAAATTTTTAACTTTATTTTTATTTTAGCAAATCACAATCACAATCACAAAAAATAAAAAATAAAAAAAAATGATTCTTGAAATAAATAAAATATGTTCTATGCTAGAATCTGGTACGGAAATTCAGTTATTTTATGAAGTAATATTGGAATTTATTTTAGGGCCTTATAGAAGCGATGGGATTAATGGGCCAATGCATAGGCCTAATCTACATTTATTGGGCCGCCCCGTTTCTAAAAAATAAAAGTACTAAAATAATTATGGTAAATTACGGCCAACCCCTAGTGTAAGGTCAAATTACGTAACCTCCCATCATGTTTGGATAATTACAACCACCATCATCAACTATGAAATTTCTTACACGTCCACCATTGCAGTGTCAAATTTAGTGTAATCTTCTAGATTATGAGAAATATTTTCCAGTTTGTACCTGTTTTATTGCATCCGAGCTCCATATTTTCAAACGATCATAAAATGTGTCTCTTGGCTTGTAAAAATCAGATTGTGATGTATCAAAAACTGCATTTTTGCACAAAACGAATACAAACTGGAGAACATTCCACGGAATGTAAAATATTCTGTTGAATCTGACACCATAAAGATGGGCGTGTAAGAATACTCATAGTTGATGAGTTTTTTCATAACTTAACCTTACGTCGAGGCCGTAATTTACCACTCCAAATGTACAATCATCAAAACATAAAAATTTCTACACAAAGGACGTTAAAAAAAACAATTGATTACCAAAACCCCTTTAGTAAGCAATACTCCTCTTCCTAGTAACAGCATTACTATTCACAGACCTGGAATTCCATAATTTGTGAACATCTGCCTCACTAAAACAACACGGCTTCTCTTCATCAATCCTCCCAATTCTTCCTACTCCGGTGCCGTAGCTCACCGCCACCGGTTTCCTCCAAACAAGATTCCCTTCCGAATCAACATCCACCCTAGCTCCGCCACCGCCGCCTTTTCTCATGGAAATCATCGGCATGAGATCCTGTATATCTGCGCCGCCGTTATCTATATTTTTCAACGAGCTAATAATTGTGTTGTCGTTTTTGGGCACAGTGCACTCCACAACGCCGTTGCCTTGATCGCAGTGGCACAGAGTCTTGGAGTACAAGTGTTTTGCTCTTGTCAAGATTCCATTTTTCTTGGCCATTTTTTTTTTGTTAATTCAATAAATCAGAAGGGTTTGCCGGAAAGAAAACATGTTACATTAATTTATAGCTTGCGAAAATCGGGTAATTGTGATGTTAATTTATCACTTGGGACGATTTGAATTATACGGCAATGCTGTGAAATTTGGCTGTTTCAAGGGTCATTATAAAATTTGCTGCCTAAAGTTCAAAAGAATGGTCAGATAGATAATAGACACATAAAACAAAGGGTAAATTACGGCCACCCCTCAGGTACTGTCAAATTACAAAAACGCCCATCATGTTTGGGTAATTACAACAACCCCTCAACTATGTATTATCTTAAACGTGGTGTTTGTAATTACCTAAACATTAGGGTTTTTTTTTTCTTAATTTGATACCAATTAGGGGTGGCTGTAATTTGTCGAATAATAAATGATACGATACATCACATGTGACATCTATATAGGGAATTTTTATCAAGATCCAAAATCACTCTGTTTTTTTTCTTTCTTTATTCTCTTATTTTATTTTCTTCTATAGAGTGTTACCATAATCTCAATTTTATTTTATTTTTTTTTTGACAAAAATATATATATATTTTGTTAAATAATTAAATACAAAGATAATAAAATCCAGAACCTGCAGTATTGGATCAGAGTGGGTACAAAGAGAGCCATCTCTCAAACATGACAAAACATTCTTTAGGCTTGTACTCTGGAGCTGTATGACCTGCACCCTGCAAATATATATAATTTAAATAAATTTTTATTAAGTTAATTTTATTATATTACATTCATTCATCAATTTTTTTTTATTATATTAAAAAAAAAATAAAAAATTGCAAGAGTTTAAGAAAAAACCTTCACTGTAGCAAAGGTGATGTAGGCTTGATTGTTTTTGTATTTCTCTGTGTATCTGCAAAACGATGAAGACAAAGTTCAATAGTTCATACTAATTTAACACGATAAAACAAATCATTATTTTTACGATTTCTAGACCGAATCTAAAATCGAAAAAAAAAACGAACCCTGCAACTTGTCCGTTGGCAGTCCACGGCCTCCATTCATCGTCAACGGTGAGATTTAATTCTCGTATCCATTTTAGAGTGCTCATGTAGGGTATAATCATGTCATGATCGCCACTGAGAAAACAAACGAGGACAATTAATTCAAAAGCATTAATAATAAATAAAAATTATGCCAAGGATTAAACTCGAGAGAAAATATATTAGATATAATCATATAAATCAATATTGTGTAGCTAATTAATAAGTAGCCCCCACCTATATGCCAAGGCTTGAAAGCCTTTCTCGCTGAGAAGCCGATGATCTTCGAGAACACTTTCCACATCATACTCGTAAGTTAAGCTCGTATTGCATCTTTTCCAATCGGGTATCGTTCCCTAGTTTTTAATTCCAATTAACATTATGAAACACGAGGAATATATTTTTTTTTCTTAAATACTGGAAAAAAGATGTCAAACTTCAAAATTCTCGGTTTTTTTTTCTTCGTATTACCTTTCTTATGTGAAGAGCTTCTTGGACACTTTCATTATTCGCCCAAACGTAAGAGCTCGCATAATTATAATTCTGCAAACAGAATGACTATATAAAAAGAAAAAAAAAACGAGGAATATATGAAAGAATATTCCAGACAGAAAAGTAGAAATTACACGGCATAACGAGTCGTCTTGTGTGGACATGAATAGGAAGTCCTCGACTGGATCATCTTCTACAAATAGTGGGTCCCGTTGAGAGTTATTAGGGTTTGGTGATAAGAATTTGCACATCGGTTCCAGAATGTGGGCATTGTTGATAAGCTTTGTGCACTGCACTAGTATAAAAACAAGAACAAAATTTTTTTACAGATGCCATGTATAAATGTTAAGTAAGAAAATAATTTAAGTGTTATCGACCTCATTAACAAGACGAAGAGCGTATTTGCATTCTATATTATCTGGATCCGGATTCACGTACTCTCCGAGACAGCTGCTTTTTGCTAGCTGAAATATTTTTCAACTACTTTATTACGTTCGTATTATCCAAAAGTGTAAGTCATTAATCATCTAAAGACCATATAGTAAAAAAGGGAATGAAAATACCTCGAAATATTCATCGGATACGAGTCCCATTCTGTGAGCATAAGGAATCTTTTCATTGTCATCCTTATTTGCATCTGTCCTTGAATTACCAACAATGTATCCCTGGTTTAATTTTCTCAAAAAATGTTATAATGGGTAACAAAGATTATATAATCGAAAAAAAATAAATAACAATATCATTTACTTGGAGTAACATTCGTGGCTGAAGTCCGGCTTCATTACCTGGATTTACGAGCACACACTATTGTCAGCTTAATCTTGATGATGTAAAAAAAAAAAAAGAAAAAAAAAAATTATTATCAGAACTTAATTATCTTGAAATTCCACCTTCTGATATGGCACGAGCTACCATGGGAGTGATTTTGCCTCCGTAAGAGTCGCCTGCGATGTATAGGCGATTTTTGAGAAATCTAGGGTGGAGTGACAACCACTGCATTTCAAAATGACATTAGCCTAACTCAGGTTATTTTCCACCGATTATAAATAATAAATAGAAATCGGTTTTATAGAGCCATCAACTTCCTCTAGGAAGAGTAAAAAGGATAACGATTCTTATTAGAAACTAACTAACCTTCCTCAAGAATACGTAATTATCTTCTGTTGATTTAGTGTCGGACGTAGCGTAACTTTCTGATGTGTTGGTATAGGAGAATCCGGTTCCGACAGGGGAGTCTATGAATATAATGCTTGCGATCTATATATAATATGTATGTATGATTGCAAAAGGTAAAAGTCAAAACAATTGAAAGATGATGAACAAAGTAGCTGCTTCGAAATCGAACCTTTGTCCATGAATATGGATTTAAAGTGAAAGAAGGAAAGCTTCCATCGAAATCTACCACATCAAACGCCAACGGACCTGCAAATATATTTAAAATGAAATAAATCCAATTAATTTAGCCTGGATCTTGTTTTCAATTACTATTTTTCCTTAAATGTCAAACTTGTTCTACATCAAATATACCAGAACCTATGATGGCACAATAAATAAATCCAATTAATTTAGCCTGGATCTTGTTTTCAATTACCTAATATAGTTGGGATAATAGCTAAATCTATTTGGCAATTAAATCTACAAAATTCAATTTCTCTTGGGCAAAATGTCAAACACATTGCGGGCAGAAAGCTTTCTGCATGCGTCACTCAAATGCGGCGGCCAACAGCCACCACCACCACCGCCGCCGCCGACAATAGGCAACTTAAAAGCAGACAATGAAGCAGAGCTGCAGAGTTAGTAAGTATCAACAACAGAATTAAACTCACCGATTTCGTAAACGAGGCCGGAAAACCCAGAGCAACCGGGTCCGCCGGTGAGCCAAAAAATAAGAGGGTCCTTTCGCGGGTCTCGCTCCGATTCAACGAAGTAGTAGAACAGTTGAACTTCATCGTCATCTCCAACGCCAATGTACCTGATTCCAACAAAGTTGAAATGAGATCCACAGCAAATAAGTTAACAAGCAACAACTTCCATGGAAATTATATAGAAGAAAAAAAAAAAAAAAAAGAACCCGACCCGGTTTCGAGTTTGAAAGGCAGAGGTCCGGGATAACCGGGTAGGGTATTGACGGTGGACTGAGAAGCGGCGGCGGTGATCAGTAAAAGAAGCAGACAGTACGAACAAGTGTTCATGTGATGCCTTTTGCTAATCTCTTTTTAAAGGGCATATTACAAATAAGCCCATCAGTGGGAACTTATTCATAAAGAGATCCAGACAATATTCTCCTTTACCAATAAGTCCACACATGGTCCAGATTTATGTAAAGGACTAAAATAACCCCTCTTACTTTAATATGCTCCAATTTCATCCTTAACTTACTTTAACTTCAATTTGACCCCAAGTTTCACAAATTATTCAATTTTGACCCAAAACTTTTTTGTTTTTCACAAATTTTTTTTTTTTCAAAAACTTTTTTTTCCCGCCGGATTCCGGCGTTGACCGGCAGTCAACGCCGGTCTCCGGCGTTGACTTTTTTTTTTTTTTTTTTTTTTTTTCCTTCCGGATTTTTTTTCCGGATTCCGGCGTTGACCGGCGGTCAACGCCGGTCTCCGGCGTTGACTTTTTATTTTTTTTTTTTTTTTATTTTTTTTTTTATTTTTTTTTTTCTTCCGGATTTTTTTTCCGGATTCCGGCGGTCAACGCCGGTCTCCGGCGTTGACTTTTTAATTTTTTTTTTATTTTTTTTTTTTTTTCCTGTAACTTTTTTTTCCGTTTAAACAGCAATATTGCTGTGAATGACAGTAATATTAACTATATTACTGTTAAACACAGTAAAATTAACTAAACTATAGTTTAACACATTGATATTGCTATATTAATCTCTAGCACATTAATATTAACACAACAAAATTCATTATTATTGTATAATAAAGTAATATTACTATGTTGTCCGTTCAACAAATGTAAACAAAATAAAAAAAACCAAAAGAATTAATATTACTGTGAGTGACAGTAATATTACTATAGCAACAGTAATATTACAATAGTAGACAGTAATATTATTACGTTACTTCGTGAATAACTCGAACAAAACAAACACCCCAAAAAAATAATAATATTGATGTTGTTGACAGTAATATTATTGTGTTTACAGTTATTTTACTGTCAACGACAGTAATATAATTACGTTGACTTGTCAACAAATCAAAAAAAATAAAAAAAAATAATAATAAATAAAAAAAATATAATATTGCATTAATTTACTGTCAACGGCAGCACAATTACATAAATGTAATGTCAACGGCAGTACAATTACGTTAATTAACTATCATTGACAGTATAATTACGCTAAATTACTGTCAGTGACAGCACAATTACGGTCAACGTGTAGCGGCGGGCGTGGAAAAACAAAACAAACCAAACAAAAAAAAAAAAACTTAAAAAAACACTAAAGAAAGAGACCGCCGGAAACCGGCGAAAAAATCCGGAAGAAAAGAAAAGAAAAAAAAAAGAAAAAAGAAAAAAAAACAAAAAAAAAAGTCAACGCCGGAGACCGGCGTTGACCGCCGTAATCCGGAAAAAAAATCCGGAAGAAAAAAAAAAAAAAAAAAAAAAAAAGTTTAAAAAGTCAACGCCGGAATCCGGCGGCAAAAAAAAGTTTTTGAAAAAAAATTTTTTTTTGAAAAAAAAAAATTTTTGGGTCAAAATTTAATAATTTGTGAAATTTGGGGTCAAATTGAGATTAAATTAAGTTAAGGATGAAATTGGAGCATATTAAATTATACTCCAAAAAAAAGTCAAAATTGAATTTTTGTGGTCAAAATTGAACTTTTATGGACAAAATTGATTAATTTGGATTACAATTAAGAATTGGGTATAAATGATTGAGGGTAATATTGGGATATACATGAATGTTTCCTTTAGTTATAATAAATATTAAAGGGATGGGCTTATTGGTGAAAGAGATATGTCCCCTATACCTAGAATAATAAACATGCTTGGTTGGGGACTTTTGCATAAAAATCCCCTTTTTAAATAGATAACGTTTCTGGTAAATATATTGCAAAATCATTATCCATTCGTTGACTATTCTAATGCCAATCATTCAATCCAAAATTTTATAGATTTTATTTATTTATTATTATTATTTACTTTTTAAATAGCCTGTTTAGTATATCTACACAGATAACTACTCACTAAACTAATATACAATTTCAACTTAATTTGTTAATTTATTGAGTACGCATACTCAATACCTCAAAGTTCAGAGCAAGCATCATTCCCAATTGATTTGTATTTACAACTACATTCAAACCTCTGTAAATTAGTATTAATATAGTCAAATATTAAATTATTGTACTAGTGATTTAATAAATTTTTATCGAATTGGAATTTGAGAGATATTATTATTTAAATGAGATTATTAGTTTATCGAGGTTCTACAATAAAGTTCTAGTAACGAGAATTTGGTGATGAATGCGTAGTAAATTTTGAACCCAACTAAATATGGTAGGTGTTACCCCCTTAGACGGAGACATCGACTATAACTCGAGTGTGGCCGAGTTATAGTTGAAGTGGTGCCAAGAAGTGTTGGCACAAGGCATGCTACACATGGGCCAAACGGTGGCCGAGAGATGGGCAAGTATTGAGGTGCTTGGCCGAGAACAACTAGGCAATGCTTTCGAGTGATTGGCAAGCATTGAGATGCTTGGCCGAGAAAGGCATGACAAGTGTGGGTAAGGCAAGCGGGCTGAATAGCACGCGTGCGGGCATAATCGATCCTTAGGGGCGCGCGCGCGCCGATTGGGCAAGCCGGGCAGCTAATTGACTTGGGAAGTTACGGAAGGCAGTTGTGGAGCGGTTGGCATCAGCAACGGCTTAAAAACCGTCCCTTATATGTTGTACTAGTGAGCCAAGTGGCTGGCCTGCGTGCCGCCATGTGTCCCTTGGCAGTTTAGTGTGTAAACTGCATTGTACCTTGTATTTATAGTCCCTTGAGTGCACAAATCCGACCCATTCAGATAGAGGGACTCAGATTGCAATTGTTAGCATCTGTTGTGAGGATTCTTTGTGTGCACCAAGGGCTTTCCTTGTATTATTCGTGAGTGAATCAATAAAGGTTGAGCATTGCTCGTAAATTGCTTGTGTTGTTCGATTTCCACTGCATACTTGTGATTGTTGTTGTTTATTTGATACAACGATGGTGCAATACGTTTGTGTGAAGAATTGTTGAGTGGGCTGACTGATTTAGTGCGTAAATCAGGCCGTACGGTGGGAAAATTTTCGATTTGGAAGCAAGATTTTTAATTTGTGAATTAAATAAATCAGAAGGGTTTGCCGGAAAGAAAACATGTTACATAATTTATAGCTTGCGAAAATCGGATGATTGTGATGTTAATTCATCAATTGGGACGATTTGAATTATACGGCAATGCTGTGAAATTTGGTTGTTTCAAGGGTCATTATAAAATTTGCTGCCTAAAGTTCAAAAGAATGGCCAGATAGATAATAGACACATAAAACAAAGGGTAATTTACGGCCACCCCTCAGGTACCGTCAAATTACAAAAACACCCATCTATGTTTGGGTAATTACACAACCATCCCCTCAACTACGTATTGTCTTACACGTCCACCCTTACGGTGTTAAATTTATCTACTGAAGGAGTGGTTTTTCGAGGGTGGTTGTAATTACCTAAACATTAGGGGGTTTTTCGTAATTTGTCGAATAATGAATGATAGTTACATCACATGTGACATCTATACAAGGAATTTTTATCAAGATCCAAAATCACTCGGTTTCTTTTCTTTCTTTATTCTCTTATTTGATTTTCTTCTATAGAGTTGTACCATAATCTCAACTTTTTATTTTATTTGTGACAAAAATAAATATATTTTGTTAAATAATTAAATACAAAGATAATAAAATCCAGAACCTGCAGTATTGGATCAGAGTGGGTACAAAGAGAGCCATCTCTCAAACATGGCAAAACATTCTTTAGGCTTGTACTCTGGAGCTGTATGACCTGCACCCTGCAAATATATATATGTGTATATATATAATTTAATTTAATATTTATTAAGTTAATTTTATTATATTAATTTTTTTTGCACGAGTTTAAGTAAAAACCTTGACTGTAGCAAAGGTGATGTAGGCTTGATTGTTCTTGTATTTCTGTGTGTATCTGCAAAACGATTAAGTCAAACTTCAATAGTTCATACATTTTTTTTACGATTTCTAGACGGAATCTAAAAATCGAAAAAAACCGAACCCTGCAACTTGTCCGTTGGCAGTCCACGGCCTCCAGTCATCGTCAACGGTGAGATTTAATTCTCGTATCCATTTTAGAGTGCTCATGTAGGGTATAGACATGTCATGATCGCCACTGAAAAAACAAAGAGGACAATTTTAATTCAAAAGCATTATTAATAAATACAAATTATGGATTAGAAACTCGAGAGAAAATATATTAGATATAATCATATAAATCAATACTGTGTAGCTAATTAATAAGCAGCCCCCCACCTATATGCCAAGGCTTGAAAGCCTTTCTCGCTGAGAAGCCGATGATCTTCGAGAACACTTTCTACATCATACTCATAACTTAAGCTCTTATTGCATCTTTTCCAATCGGGTATTGTTCCCTAGTTTTTAATTCCAATTAACATAACGAAACACGAGGAATATATATATTTTTTTCTTAAATACTGGAAAAAAGATGTCAAACTTCAAAATTCTCGGTTTTTTTTTTCTTCGTATTACCTTTCTTATGTGAAGAGCTTCTTGGACAGTTTCATTATTCGCCCAAACGTAAGAGCTCGCATAATTATAATTCTGCAAACAAAATGACTATATATAAAAATAAAAATAAAAGGGAATATATGAAAGAATATGCGAGACAGAAAAGTAGAAATTACACGGCATAACGAGTCGTCTTGTGTGGACATGAATAGGACGTCGTCGACTGGATCATCTTCTACAAATAGTGGGCCCCGTTGAGAGTAATTAGGGTTTGGTGATAAGAATTTGCACTTCGGCTCCAGAATGTGGGGATTGTTGACAAGCTTTGTGCACTGCACTAAATATAAAAAGGAAGAACAAAAATATTTTACAGGTGCCATGTATATATGTTAAGTAAGAAAATAATTTAAGTGTTATCGACCTCATTAACAAGACGAAGAGCGTATTTGCATTCTATATTATCTGGATCCGGATTCACGTACTCTCCGAGACAGCTGCTTTTTGCTAGCTGAAATATTTTTCAACTACTTTATTACGATCGTATTATCCAAAAGTGTAAGTCATTAATCATCTAAAGACCATATAGTAAAAAAGGGAATGAAAATACCTCGAAATATTCATCGGATACGAGTCCCATTCTGTGAGCATAAGGAATCTTTTCATTGTCATCCTTATTTGCATCCGTCCTTGAATTACCAACAATGTATCCCTGGTTTAATTTTCTCAATAATTGTTATATTGGGTAACGAAGATTATATAATCGAAATTAAATGAATAAAAATAATAATATCATTTACTTGGAGTAACATTCGTGGCTGAAGTCCGGCTTCGTTACCTGGAATACGAGCACACACTATTGTCAGCTTAATCATGTAAAAAAACAAAAAAAAAAAAAAAAAATTATCATCAGAATTAATTATCTTGAAATGCAACCTTCTGATATGGCCCGAGCTACCATGGGAGTGATTTTGCCTCCGTAAGAGTCGCCAGCGATGTATAGGCGATTTTTTACAAATCTGGGGTGGAGTGACAACCACTGAATTTTCCAAAATGACGTTAGCCTAACTAAGATTAATTTCCACCGATTATAAATAATAGATAGAAATCGGTTTTATATAGCCGTCGATTTCCTCTAGGAAGAGAAAAAACGAAGTAAAAAGGACAAGGATTCTTATTAGAAACTAACTAACCTTCCTCAAGAATACGTAATTATCTTCTGTTGATTTAGTGTCGGACGTAGCGTAACTTTCTGATGTGTTGGTATAGGAGAATCCGGTTCCGACAGGGGAGTCTATGAATATAATGCTTGCGATCTATATATAATATGTATGTATGATTGCAAAAGGTAAAAGTCAAAACAATTGAAAGATGATGAACAAAGTAGCTGCTTCGAAATCGAACCTTTGTCCATGAATATGGATTTAAAGTGAAAGAAGGAAAGCTTCCATCGAAATCTACCACATCAAACGCCAACGGACCTGCAAATATATTTAAAATGAAATAAATCCAATTAATTTAGCCTGGATCTTGTTTTCAATTACTATTTTTCCTTAAATGTCAAACTTGTTCTACATCAAATATACCAGAACCTATGATGGCACAATAAATAAATCCAATTAATTTAGCCTGGATCTTGTTTTCAATTACCTAATATAGTTGGGATAATAGCTAAATCTATTTGGCAATTAAATCTACAAAATTCAATTTCTCTTGGGCAAAATGTCAAACACATTGCGGGCAGAAAGCTTTCTGCATGCGTCACTCAAATGCGGCGGCCAACAGCCACCACCACCACCGCCGCCGCCGACAATAGGCAACTTAAAAGCAGACAATGAAGCAGAGCTGCAGAGTTAGTAAGTATCAACAACAGAATTAAACTCACCGATTTCGTAAACGAGGCCGGAAAACCCAGAGCAACCGGGTCCGCCGGTGAGCCAAAAAATAAGAGGGTCCTTTCGCGGGTCTCGCTCCGATTCAACGAAGTAGTAGAACAGTTGAACTTCATCGTCATCTCCAACGCCAATGTACCTGATTCCAACAAAGTTGAAATGAGATCCACAGCAAATAAGTTAACAAGCAACAACTTCCATGGAAATTATATAGAAGAAAAAAAAAAAAAAAAAGAACCCGACCCGGTTTCGAGTTTGAAAGGCAGAGGTCCGGGATAACCGGGTAGGGTATTGACGGTGGACTGAGAAGCGGCGGCGGTGATCAGTAAAAGAAGCAGACAGTACGAACAAGTAGTGTTCATGTATTTAGCCATGATGCCTTTTGCTTTTAATTTTTCTGGTAAATATATTGCAAAATCATTATCCATTCGTTGACTATTCCAATGCCAATCATTCAATCCAAATTTTACAAATTTATTTATTTAATTTTTTTTATTTTTCTTCTAAATAGCCTCTTCAGTATATTTATACGAATAACTAGGGCTGAGACTGGGTTGGGTCGGTCGATTACCAGTCTAATAACCGACCCATCCGTCAAACCATTTTTGCTCAAATTTGAAAACCGTTGCCGACCCAACCTTTGTGGGTCGGTTGATGGTTGGCAACCGAATATTTGGTTACGAAATGGGTCGGTTGATGGTTTATACCCACCACCTAGTTCACTTCAAAAAAAAATTTTGGAGTAAAAATATCCACACTTTGCGTAATGCCACGGTGCGATCATCATTTATCAGTTCAAAATAATTAATAGCAATTTAACGAAAAAATATAATTAGGAAATTCAAAGTAATTTCAAACATGCACTAGAGATTTAGTGGAGTTTTGTGGGCTTTTTGTGCTTGGGCATAAAGAAACTGGTTGAAGATTTATGTCAATTTTTTTCCTTTGTTGATTGTTTTAAAATATTAAAATCCTAATTATTTTGATAATTTCAATAATCACGTAAGAAAACACGGCATTTATTTTATATTTTTAATAAAATTTTAATAGTATAGTTGTATAACCGATAATTATCGGTCAACCAACTTTTGATAATATTAGAAACCACCAACCGACCCATTACAAATGGGTTGGTTGAAATTTTTGACCCGATCTAATAGGTAGGTTAAAAATTGATTATCCACCTAAAAATATGGTCGGTAATAGATCGGTTTGTGGATAAAAACCAATCCAGTCCCTGCCCCACGAATAACCACTCACTACACGCGTATACAATTTGAACTTTATTAATTTATTTATTCTAGTACATATACTCAGTACCTCAGAGTTCTTAGCAAGCATCATCCCAACTCATTTGTATTTAAACCTCTATAAATTAATATGAACATGACTAATAAATTTTTATTAATTTAGTAAATATTAAAATATCAGACTAATAAGTTTGATATGTTTTCACCGAATCGTGATTGAGAGATATTATTATTTGCACGAGATTATTAATTTATCGAGGTTCTGCAATAAAATCCAAGTAACGAGAATTTTGTGATGAATGCGTAGTAAATTTAGAACCCAACTAAATATGGTAGGGATACAAATGTAAATTCGTAGCATTGTCAGCTTAATAGTTGAACTCGTCTGCCATGAATGAATGAGCTCGAGTGTAGAAACTCCTCTCCGTTTTAAATTATCTTCCATTTTGAAAAAAAGAAAAATGCATTAACTAATTTTCTCAAATTTGCATTTATTAATCCTTAGAAAAGAAATTAAAAATAATGATTAATTGAACAAATAATTAGTGGGGATGATATTCTGTCATATTATATTTTTTTTTCTAAAATTCATACATATGTATTAGTTTTTAAAATATATTTTTAAACAAGACTTAATATAAGCAGATGAATATGAAATCAGGCCCAAATCCATATAATGATTATGGACCTTAAATTCTTTGATCTAAAGCTATTGGGGCATTTCCTTTTGAAATTTAAGAGTTGCTAAGACAAAATTGAAATGGTTAATGGCTAATAATTTCTTTTATGATAAATTATTGAGAAAATTGTACAATAAGCTTTTCAATATGTACACCATTTTCATAATTAAAAAAAAAATGGCAAAATTACGGTCACCCCATAAATTCAGATTAAATTACGAAAAACTCCTTCAAATTTAGGCATTATAACCACTGGTTCAACTGTGAATTGTTTTACACGTCCAGCTTTACGATATCAAATTTACAAATTAAAAAAAGTGGTTATAATTACCAATAAAAAGAGTTTTTTTTTCTTTTTCCGTAATTTAATTTTAGCTCAGAAAAGTAACTTAATTTTAGCTCAGAAAAGTGACGCGTAATTTGTCCTCATTTTTTTTTTACATATATAATAATGTAATGTAATTTAAGAGTAGTTTTCTTTGTTAAATCCATGAATGAATATTATTATATTGAAGTGTCATTTTGCACCTGCTTCAATGTTTGCAACTGATTCATTCCTCTATTAGTAATTTTCAATATTCATCACTTCATAAACATTTCTAAACTTTTCTCTACATCTCCTTTTTCCTCACACCAACAACAATTATCATAATTAAAAATAAAAATAATAATAATAATTAAAAAAAAGGACCGAAACGGTTTCCTGGATTGAAATTAAACTCGCACCGACGAAACACAGAAATCGGCGACTTGAATAACAGAGTTCTGAATTCCTTTTGAGTATTAAAGTAATAAAATATTCAGAAAAAAAATAGAAATGATTACAGAAGAATCAAATCAAATGAAATCAAGGGAGTTGTTTCTTCCCTGGGCGATCGGCGGCTTTGAGAGTTTTGGTGATGATGTTTTTGGCCTTCCGGCTACGGATCTCGACCCTAACGCTTGCGCTCTTGTCCATCTTTACGTACGGCTTCTTTTTCGTTGATTTCTTCAACGATCTCACCTTCGATTTTATCGATTCCACTATATTCTCCAACTGAATCGCCATTTTTTATTTATTTATTGCTCCGAGTTAGTTTCTGTACGTGTGGATCGATTCGCTGCTGCTTTCTGTAGAGGACTGAGGTAGAATTTTTTCGATTGAGGCGGAGGAGAGAGCAAACAGACGGCGGCGTACGGCGGAGGAGGAAGAGCTGAGGGCGGAGAGGCAGAGGAGTGTGTGCTTTTTTGTAGAGAGAGAAAATGGTGCCAGCTGATTTTAAAGTCTGCTATTAGTAGCGGTATTTATGGATTGGAGGCTCCCTTGCGGCGTGCCTGCCAACGTTTTTGGTTCAACACGTTGACTATAGAGTTTTTTTTTTTTTTTTGGCAATATTCTATTTTTATACTCCAATTTTCATTCTTTTGTTGTTTAAATATTTCTATTTAATTATTTCCGATTGAATTGAAGAGATAAATGTAAAATCTGCGGTGAAAATATTATGACCAATGAATTGAATATGCAGAATCTAGGGAGCACCCGTATTTGTTGTAAGATAAAGGATGGAGTTTGGTATATTATTTAGTGATGGTCAATTATAAAATTAATTAAAAACAAATAGTAAATTTTAAGTGTGACGTATATTTTTAAATAAAATGAGACATTTGATCATTGGTTTATTGGTAGACGTCGTGATATTATGATGTAAATTGCAAGCGCGTGCAAGTAGTAAATCAAGTCGTTCTGAGTTTCCTCTTTCCAAACAAATTACATCAGGAGTGGCTTAATTGATGGAGTAATATGGACGCTTAAGGACTAGGGCTCAACTATTTTTGCTGAACACTTTATAGATTGAATTCAAGGCACCCAATGCAATTTACATCTTTGCGTGGTTTAATGACTTTGTGAGAGCCTGATTTACAGGATACACATATTTGATAGCTGATTCTTTTGTTTATTAAAAGGAATGCGTGGCCAATATATACTGCTTTGCATTGGAAGTCAAAAGTAGTATGTAATAAGCCTTGTTAGCTTCAGCTTGACAACAATTGTCCACGTTGGGATGGGATGTCAGGGTATGAGCTACCCATAATAGAATGTAATAGGCACTTACGTGTGATATTCATTCGAGCAGTTTATGTGTGTAACGAAAAGCAATATTGATGGGCAAGGAAAAAAAAAAGTTTGAACTTGACGTACAACCCCGTCAAATTTGACAGCCACAAAATGTGTTGAACAACGGTCAATCACATCTTACTCCATAACCACAGCAGCTATATGCTATTTTCAAGACCATATTTCTATTTTATTTTGAGAAAACATATGATCGCAAAATATTTGACAAAATAAAGAGAAATCATTTGTTTCTATTTATTATTATTATTATTATTATTATTATTATTATTATTATTATTATTATTATTATTATTATTATTATTATTATTATTATTATTATTATTATAAATAATAATAAATCAAAGAGAGAAAAAAACTGACAAACTTTATCAGCCACACATGTAATGCTGTCACCGTCCTCATAAATTAGAGTATAGTGTGATACCAAATATCCACAGTATTGACCTTGATTTCATATTTGAATATAATACACATGCATTACACACACCTTCAATTCATCAGTTGAATAATACTAATAAATACTCTATAATATAAAGTGACAGTGGCAGGGCTATTTAATTAAATTTGAAACTTTGAAATACTGCAAGCTTTTGGGCATCTAAGTCAAACCAATATCATAAATGCCCAAATGTTAGTAGTCACTTTGATCAAGGAAATTGATATACTATATAGTATTTTATGATAAAATCAAAACTTCAGACTGCAGCTTTGATCCGGAACTGATTCATCAGATGAAGAGTTTTCTTCTCTCTTTTAGAGCTAGCAAATATTTTTAGGGTAAATTACGAAAAAATTTCGAACACTTACGACAAACTATGAAATACACCCCCACATATCCGTAATTACTAAAATCCCCCTTACAATGTGATTTTTCGCGGAATCTTTTTGAGTCCAAGGAATATTTCACAAAAAATGCCAATAATACCCCTACAAACGTGGAATTTCTTTTATGCTACTTTTTAAAGGTAAAAATTACTCTTAAAGGGGTATAATACTAAAAAGTTGTAAATGAGTCATTATAAGAAGAATAAAGATTATGTTTAAAGACCCCCCCAGGGTAATTTTTATCTCCCAAAATTAGCATAAAGAAACGTTACGTTCACAACGGTAGAATCAACATTTTTTCGGGGAATATTCCCTGTAATAAAAAAGATTTCGTGAAAAATCACATCATAAGGGGGTAGGTGTAATATTGGAAAAAACGTCGGGGGAATTTTGGTAATTACAAATTAGTTGTGGGTGTTTTTCATGATTTAGCTCAAGTCCAGGGGGTTTTCCTAATTTACCCGTATTTTTATTTCAAAATACGGAAAAACAATCTTCTCAAGACTTTAAAAAACCCAAAAAAAAAATGATCAATAAGCTTATGATATCCAACTAAGTTTACTGGTGATGATACAAATTAATAATAATATATATAAAAAAATGAAGTTTATTGATGAAGTATTTCTAATCTTAATCTACAAATATTTCATTGACTTTGACTCAGGGACTAAAAGATGGAACGCAGAAGGTTCATAACTGCAGACTTTTGTAACTACAAATACGTACCCATAATCCTAAATTTCAATGTTAACCAAGACTTTTGTGAACGAAAACCAAGTTTGAATACATGCACAATTAGCCGAGGCCACACTGACTAAAGAACTTTAAACACCTCGATTTTTACCTATTAATTAAATGCAAATTAAATTAAAGACTTCGAATAGATTACCTTTTAATCGAAACTAGTGAATCCCCCTATCACCTTAGAAATACCGAGGAACCTAATTTTCAATGAGCATGCAACAATAAAATCTAGAACCGAATCTTTATCCAAAACAAAATTGCGTTGTGACAAGTTGACCCCACGAATGTGATATAAGCCACAACCATAATTAACGGAAATAAAGTGACAATGTATTGAGTATAGACTCTTACAGAGAAAAGAAGCCAAAACCTTGATTAGTGGGAGCAAAACCGTTGTAAACCTCCAATTTCCTGCAAATAAAGTGAATGAGTTTAGGAGAAAATCGAGGAAGTTGCAGCTAATCTTGAAAAGGCATAACAACAAATTGGTCACGAATTTGAATCATTTAAATTCTTGTCCTGGTGTATAACCAGAGATAAAAGACAATGAAATGACATGCCGAATAAAGAAATTCAACCTAGATCAAACTGACCAACATTAAGGTAACTTAAAAAATGATACCACCAGAGTAAAGTTACAACCCAATAATGCAAAAAAGCAGGAAACTATTTCGATTAAGAATTGAACTTGTTCGATAAAAATGATACTGAGCAAGATTTTCCTACAATTAGATTCTGGTATCGTACAAGGTTTTGATTCAACAATACAGTTCAGTTCGCGAGCATTAAATTCATTCCAGTAGAAACTAAGGTTTAAATTTAGATTGATGGAGTTGATTGTAAGGATTCCAATCCTTGTAATAAATACTTAAGCTCCCGTAACGAGTTATATTTTCAGTCATTATGATGGATTTGAAAATAAAATCCACATAATATCCAGTCATTAGAAATCCTTCTTTCAACTCATCCTCTTAAATTTAAATGTAACCTAAAATTGCCAAACCTAGGCCACTTGCTCTAGCATGGTAAACTGAGGTACCTGGTTTGGTCCTAACATCAGGGTTCTTTGCCTGGTCATATCAAATACATTATTTTAGATATTTTTGGCACTTATTATTTCTAGAATTCATTAATTAATTTCCCGAGAAAAAAATCAGCTGCCAAAAAGCAATAAAATTAAAATGATTGGATGCAAGAAATAGATGTTAATAACTATCAAGAAGAACATAAAAGCTTACCTGAAGTGTGGTTAACTGGTGACTGTTTCCTGGGAGTCGGACCATAGCATCAGAGTTGAAAGGAGAGCCATTGCAGCAGTTTCAACACGTAGTCGATGTGGGCCCAGACCAGTAGCAATTGCACCAGCCTCCGTTATGGATTTCAACTCCTTCTCAGAGAAGTCTAAGTATACCAGGGTTTTTTTTTTCAGTAAACTTGATCTTGAGTAGTCAAAGCTCTCCACGCACAAGCAATAATCATTTCATTTAAAATAATGAAAACGGGTCATAGGGAGATGGAATCTCTAAATTTAATGATCTTTGATGCATCAAAAGTAAGAAATCTTGATGTTTTTAATACTTATCCTTTTATATTACCCAAAGTCTTTATAAAGCCTTTTTTTTTTTGTGATACTTTCATTCACGTCAGAGAATTCTCGTAACTTCTATTTCTTAAGGTCTTGCAGGTATTCTGATTTTTTTTAAATACATACTGCAACAAGTGACTATTTTGGAGATGTACTACATGTTTTAGCTTTTCAATCAAGAATCCTCCTAAAGGTTTTGCAAAGTATGTTCTGTACACAACATGATACAAAACTAAAGGTTTTGCAAGCTCAGAGATAAAGATACTTAAATGGTGAAGTATCCAAAATATTTTGAATTTTTTTTCCGAGAAGAATCACGGATGACGAGAATTAGACTTTTTTCAGGAAAAATAATGGGGATGTACATAGAAAGAAATGGCCACAAACCTCCTTCTGGTCCAATTATAATGACTCCAGTCTGTTCTTTCCTTAAAGAACTCAATGTATTAAAAACAGGAGTAGCCTCTGCTACAGCCACAAAGGATAATCTTGACTGAGCTACCTAAATAGAAATATAGGGAGAAAATCATAAAACCCCACATGAAACGGAAGAGAGAAAATGGTTATCTTAAATTTTCCATCTAAAGAAAACAAGTCACTGCCACAAATTTAAACAAGTTCAAAGTGATCGTTGAATTATGAGGGTATATGAGATATTTACCAGAGGTAGAAGTTCCTCTACTCCAATAGGAGGCTTCAAACTCATTTCATGTAAACGCTGACCTACACGAGAAGTAGTATTGATGGACGATAAAAATATCAAATCATCTGATCACAATAATGATTTGAAATGAGCCAAATATGTAAAGAAAACAATTTACATTGTTTTGCTGCAGCCAGAATAACTCTCTGCAGCCTGTCTACCCTATTTTCCGATATTGACTGAGAACGCTCCGTTAATAAAGGTGTCACGCTGGATGCTCCAAGCTCCTATGATGCATAGATTGAAAGAAAAGGAAATCAATAATTTCACATAAAAAATAAATAAAAAAGATATCACAATCTCAAGCAATGAAATAACATACAGTACATTTCTCGACTAGCCAATCAGCTCTGCCTCCCTTTAACGTGCCTTAAAGGGAACAATTTAAAAGAGTTATAGTCTTATAGAAGCCAAGGAGCAGAAAAATGCATCGGAAGGGAAAAGTATTGATACTATTGAAACTCACTAAAAGCAGCAAAAATATGCCACTGTGTGTTCTGTGGAGAAACTAATTTTGGGTTCTCCAGCGCTTCAAAATCTACCCCTATCCGATCAATCTTCTCTATGCGCCCTTCAACCAAACCTCCCTTCCCATTAAATAACTCTACCCTTGCAAAACAGAAAATCTAGGTTAATAAAGTCGTACTCGTACAACAAGTACAGAAAACCTAGATGATAAACTGATAATACGAGAGAGGAGCTCATGTATGGCCGATAAATCCTGCAAAACTTTGTCACTTGCATGTATGTTTGCCAATTACAAAACCTTAATTCCCGAGCTAAACATTTCAGTGAAAACTTATGTGGAACTTCCATATTATAAAACCACGACATAAAACCTTTCATCTTAAATTTATTTTTTCATAGAGTATTAAATTACTGTAAACCCTCCCCAAATCGTTCACGAGAACAAAATAACATACTTATAGAGTATGGAAAATGCTTATATTAAACCAACACAAAAGACATCACTGTATTTTATCTTAACTCGATCAATTGCATTAATAATTTCCGTCTTCACTCCTATTCCTCAATTGCACACATCAATCCCAAACCAATAGATAGCGGATCTTACGCCAATAAAATAACAACAGTTAATAATTCAACAATATCTCTCTCTCTCTCTCTTTCTCTCTGTTCTTCCATCTTTCTCTCTCTATCTTCTCAATTTCTACCTATGTTGCTCATAATTCTACATTATATTCTGTTTACCCATAATTATCATAAATAAATAAATCAAAATACAAAGAGTAGCCGGATAGTAAACGAAGCCATACCTATCGTTGATTCCTAACCTCAGAACCTTGGTCATGTGCCAGAATTCATCGCCTTTCACGCGTACAACACCACCCTGAAAATATTATCAACTCCGCTTAAAAATACAGATTCCACGCGTGTATACATACATACACATTCAAAAATACAAAAACAAAAAAGCGAAGAGGTAAATAAATGTGCCTTGTAAGGAGGTAGGGTTTCGGAGAAGAAGCGAGGAAGGCCTCCCCGTGACTGATTGGCATAATCTGAAGACGATGATGATGATGATGATGATGATGATGATGATGATGAGAAAGCCCGCAGATTCAAATGCAACGGAGAGACGTTCAGTAGGCTGATTAACCTAGGACTACACCCTAGGGTTTGCATGGGCGAAACTCCGCCTTCCCCCGCCGGCGAGGTTTATCGACCGGGAATTTCTGATTTTCTGAAGAGGGCTTTACTTTTTTTTCAGGATACGGGTTTCAATTTTCTCTCCTAGTCTACTCCCACTACCATTGTCCAATTAAATACCTCAATGACTAAGAGCAACTCCAAATATTAAAATGAAGCATCAAACAATCAATTAATTGATGCTTTGATACTTTTAAAAAACTCATATGCTTCAATCCATAGATATTAAATAAATTATTATCCATTTTTCATTAAAATTTATTGAGATTTTATTTATTTATTTCTGTGAAATATTTTCATTTTAGGGAATCAAAATGGTAATTTTGTAATTTAATACTCTATTTGATTCTCACTGCTCTAAGTTTCAATAAGTGTAAGCGTATACAGCTACCCGAGATATGGTTAAATTACAAAAAAAAAAAAAAAAAAAAAACTCTCATGTTTAAGTAATTAAAATTATCCTTGAAATATGGTCAAATAAAAAAAAAAAAAAAACCCTCATGTTTGGTTAATAACAAGTACCTTCAACTATGAATTTTCTTACATGTGCACTTTTATGTTGTAATTTTCTAGATTCCGTGAAATGGTCTCTTGTTTGTACTCGTTTTGTGCAAAAATGCAATTTCTGACGCATCACAATCTGTTATATACAAGCCAAAAAAACACATCTTATCATTATCTTGCTTCAAAATGTTGACTTCGAATGAGATAAAACGTGTACAGGCTTGAGAATATTCCATTCCCCTAAATTTTACGCCACAAATGGTGGACGTATAACAAGATTCATAGTTGAAAAGTAGTTGTAATTACCCAAACATGAGGGAGATTTTCGTAATTTGACATTACCTCAAGAGGTGACCGTAATTTACCCTAATTATAACTAGAATTTTTTTTTACTCTACTCAACATTGTTTTTTGTTTAATTTTGAGGCAAAATTAAACAAAATTGAACTATTAATCAATTATTGGTTTATCCACCATAGGCCCAACAACCGCTTTACAAATGCCCAATGGGCTATGGGCAACAAAAAGAGTTGGTGAAATTGAACTATTCACCCACCAACCTCCATTGAGGCAAAGCATCAAACACTTAATCTTCACTGTCATCACCACCACCACCGCCGCCATCTCCCTCGTATCCACCGCCCATTTCACAAATCCTATCCCAAACTTCTTTCACCACCGGCAAAACCGACAACCTGGGCTGCCGGAACAGCAAGAACTCCACCCCTTTCAACTCCTTTTTCATCTCCGCCAAGCCCACCGCTGTTGCCATCTCCCCCACCGCCTTCACGTCCACCACGCCGCCGCCCTCCTCCTCCTCCTCGTACCACTCCCGCACGACCTCGACCACTCCGACCACGCGGCGGAACTTGGCGCCGGAGTGATAGAAGAAGCACAAGTCCCCCGCGGCCATGGACTTCATGTACTTCTGCGCCTGCTTGTTCTTCACACCGTCCCACTTCGACAGGCCTCCGTTCGCCGCCTGATCGTCCCACGACCACTCCCCCGCCTCCGTTTTCAGTAGCCAGTAATTATTCTCCTTTTCCATTTTTTTTTTCACGCCACTCAGTTTTTCTATTTCGCCCTCGGATATTTTAAATGGAGAGGAGAAGCTCTTACGGCGGGAAGTGTGGCTAATATTAATAGGTTTTGGCGCCAAATATATTTTCTATATTCCAATTAAATTCATTACACTTCTTGTTTTTATAATCAATTAAATAATATTTTCGTAGCAAAAATTATTATATAAAAAATAAACCTTTATTTTCAAAAGGCACTAGTTGATTTATAATAGAGGAAATAAATTAAAATATTTCATCATATTATTTCATTATATCCCACTCTATATAAATAAACACTTTAATGAATAATCCAATATTGACAAACCAAAAAAAATTAAACTATTGATGAAGTACACCCAAATTACCATCCAAGATTCCAATCCATACATACACAACCAATTTACTATCCAATCCATATATACACACAACCAAAAATTTTAAAAATTTTAAAAAGTTACCGGGCGATTTTTTCAAGAATGTACAGAGATTAGTATCGTAGAATATGAAATGACGATCTGAAATATTAACCATGGCTTTGCTTTCGTTTATGTGTGTAAATATAATCAATGTGAGCATCGAGCGTTCTCCTCATCAAGCACTCGTCTTCCCCGAGCCCAACGCACCTATCTCGATCTACTGCATCCACCTTCTGCACTTCATTTTCCTAACTCCAAAAATCACAACAATAAATATTCAATTAACTCAAATGAATATATATAAACATACAACACATCACCACATTATACACGCGCGTAAAAAAATATGTGCGTGTTTGCAGAACTCACCCCATGACGAGTCTCCATTGGAGTCACGTCATGAAACGTCGGGTCGGGCCGGGCTAGAACACAAGGGAATGCTACAAGTAGGAACATGATGGTAATTGTCATTGCCTTGCCCATTTTCTCTTTCAATCTGTTTTTTTTTTCTTTCTTTCAAAGTTATAGATTGGAATTGATTTTTTTCTTCTAAAAAATATCTTATAGTAAATATGAGAGGGGCAAAGATGTCATTAAAGTATGAACCGGCCAACACCATATAAATATAGTTGGAAGATCAAATTGGGGTGGCTGGTTTTTAAGCAGCCAAGCTACAAAAATGGTGAGCCTTTATTTCATGGGGAGATTCGAAAATTTTGAAAACAATCTAAATATTATTATTAATTATTATCATACATTTACAAAACAATATACAAATTTCGAAGTACATATACACACAATATATGTATGTATACACACACATTACTTAAAAATCTCCCCTAAAAAATGGCCCCCCAAAATATGAACTATAGAAGGTGCCTCCTCCATTGGGGAAAAGAGTGAGGAAACATATCAAGAAGAGCACACAACCCCAAGCGAAACGGTCATCACCCAACGGGGTAATTTCGTCTTTTGCCGGAATCTCGTCTCCCCCTCGAAAGAAGGTAGCGAAAAGCCCCCACGCCAAACAAAGCACACTGCCACTTAATCCACCGATGCCAAGCAAAAGAGATGTTGTGAAAGACAGTAAAGTGGCCGTACTTCTTCCGAACATAGCTTGAGCAATTCGCCCGCCTTCGAGTCTTCCACACGGGAGCAAGTTTAGTGACGTAACCACCATGCCTACAAAAAAAAGAAAAAAATAATTATAATAAAAAAGGGATAACTAGAAAATTTAAGGTCGTCATAAAAAAATGTCCAAGAAAAGTTAGTGATTGACCAGTGGCAGAGCCAGCATAGAGCCATTGAGGGGCCATGGCCCCCCACCCTTTTTTCAAAAAAATATTAATTTATAAATATAGATTATTTGTTATTTTTCGAGCAGTAGAGTATTGTGGGGCCCGCTATTAATTACGATAAGGCAAGGTCATAGAAATATGATTACCTAACAATCCGGCAAAAGCAAGGGGATCAACGGGCACTCCCACACCTTCGACTGCATAGGGAAGCACATTTCCAAGATCGTCGGTGTAAGGTCCAATCACATATTGGATGAACGAAAGAAGAGGATTATTGTAAAAAAATTGAGGCCTTATATACCTAAAGAAAAAAAAAAAAAATTAATTAACAACCTTAAACACCATGTGAGACCATTATTAAAAAAAAAAAAAAAGACGGGATTTCATACAGTGCGTTATCACCCCCGTTGAAACTACCGTCGGCTATAAAAGCAGCAACTGCAAGAACCAACGAAGTTATATACGCGCTAGCGGTTCTTGCTACAGGAATATCGAATAGAGCTTTTTTATTAGGCAGCAAAGACTCGTAGTTGTTCATGACACCTAGGCACCCTGTCCAGCTGGACGGAACTAGAAACGACGGGCTTAATTTAACTCCGTAACGGGCTGCAGTTACTCTCGTGGCAATCTGAAAAAAAAAAACCAAAACGGATAAAAATGTTATCGAAAAATTTGACACGTGTGCTTTCAAAAAATTTTAACGGCGAACGTAGTAGTGTAGTACCTCGGAAACTGCTAAAATGGTCACGAATCCACCAAAGAGAGGTGCCACGTTAGCTAGGTAGTCATCGATGGTTGCATCGGGCTTGAGGAATAATCCACTTGTCAAAGCGATTGTGCCGAAAGTTGTAACGGATAATGCTATGGCACTAAGGTAACCCCATGGGGTACTTAGTTTTGTGGATTCGAATTGGAGATCCATTTCGGATTTGGGTTGCACCACACATGCCTAAAAAATGAGAAACGGGCACCGGATTAAGAATATTGTTAAGTACCTATACCTAATGAATAAAACTATAAATTAATACAGCCGGGACTAGGAAAATTCTATTAATTTAGCGAATTATTAAATTATCGAGTTAATAATTTAATACGTTCTCACCGAGTCGGGACCGAATGAAACTATTATTTAATGGAGGTTATTATTTTATTGAGTATTAATTTATCGAGGTTCTACTGTACATAGCGACTAATCAATTTCTAAACAATGGAAGAATTAAAATTTTATTCATGGGGCCAAATTTTGTTTAATTATACTATCTTCTACTTGAAGTTTCTCATAATATGCGTCTTTTTCTTGTTCCGTAATGATGCAGTGATTACTATTTTTTTGCTCAAATTCGACCTTATAAGTTACTTTTAATTTGTCAAGAGTAATTAGTGGAAATAAAATTAATAGAAACGGTGTTTTTTTTTTTCCTAAAATCAACGCACATTTATTAGTTTTCTTAATACACGTGAACTACCCTAAAACCGTAAAACGACAGTTATTATGAAACAGACGGAGTACCTGTTTTGTGATATTATTAGTTTTCTCCTCCATGAACCACACAACAACATCTCTCTCCGCAGCTTCCGATAATTTCTTCTCCAATTTAGGTATCACTTCTTCGACCGGTTTCCTCAAATTCCCAACGAAAATCCCACCATCTCCGAATCTCCTAACATCCGTCGCGAAGAACGAATCGAACCCGAAACAGCTCCTCAACTGCATTTCACAATCCACCAAAACAAGTATACAAACACTCAAATCATTAATAATGTGTACTCCAAACAAATTTTTTTTCGACGAAAACAAAAATGTACAATACCTTGTTAAGATCAAGAGCCTTGAATTTCTTTTCTGCTTCCTCCAATCTCTGCTTCTCTCTCCACAAACTATCGCGGACCGCATTTTTAAGGAAACCGAGTAAAGGGTTGTCGGTTCTTTCTTGATCCTCAAGCTGTTTGAGTTTTCTATCAGCCCTTTTCTTCTCGAGCTTTATAGCAGCCTCAATTGAAGGATTCCCCATGAAATTCTTGAACTCCTCGTCGGTTTTCCAATCCGTTTCTTGCAGATTCTCTCTCTCCTCCACGTCATCATCAAAATCACCATTGATATGTTGGAGATTTTTTTGGTCCTCAACAGACACAGAGGAGGAAGAGGGCTCGTCTGTATTCTCAGCTTTCGCGGAAAAATTCAATCTTTTGCGCGAAAAAATCGTGGATTGGGGGATAGGGTTTCTTGAAAATGGTGGTGGAATACGAAATTGGTTTTGGGGGATAGGGTTTGTTGAAAAGGGATGCGGGGTGAAGAGAGCAGCTGCCATTGGAAGCTGGTGGAAAATGATCTGAGTTTCGAGCTGGAGAGTGAATACATGGTGTAACAATGGCAGGCTTTTTAGCGAAGGTGGTGACGTGTCTGGAAAGTTGGAGGAGTTTCTGGAGTGTGTATAGGTGTATGTATATATGGGCAGATTGAAGGTAGTGACAGAAGAGAACAACTGAGAATTTTCGGAGAAATTTTGAAGGATTAATTTGTGTGGCGGATGGGTTTTCTTGAGGAGTTTGATTTGATTGAGACATTAAATAATTAATTTATAAAAACTGTTGGGCCACAAAGTAATTAAGCTTTTATGTTGGGCCAAAAAGTAGTTAACTTCTCGTTTTGAGTAAAAAAGTAATTAATCTCTCGTTTTGGGCCAAACAGTAATTAACCTTTTGTTTTGGGCCAAAAAGTAGTAAACCTTTTATGTTGGGACAGAAATAATTATCTTTTTATTGTGGGCCAAAAAGTAATTAAGCTTTTATTTTGGGCCAATGAGTAATTAACCATTTAATGTGGGCCATCGAGTAATTAACCTTTTATTTTGAGGCAAAAAGTAATTAACCTTTTATTATGAGTGACAAAGTAATTAAGCTTTTATTTTGGGCTAAAAAAGTAATAAACGTGAATATTTCTCTTCACGCCAAGTTGAACCGACCTTTGGTAGATAAAATCCCCAAATTTGCATTTTGTTCTAAACTTTACATTTTCGAAGAAGCGTAGCCATGAAACTCAGATTGAGATCATTCGATTCGAAAGAAACCCTAAAAATCGAAGTTCAAAATTCATGCACACTTTCCCAACTCAGACAAATCCTCTCTCAAACCCTCTTCAATTCTCCGCCTCCCGCTTCAATTCGCCTCTCTCTTAATCGGAAAGACGATCTCGAATCCGACGGCGAAGACTGCCTCCAATCGCTCGGGATCGCCTCCGGCGATCTTGTGTTTTTCTCCCTTGAACACCCGCCGCCGCCGCCTGAATTGATTTCGCACCACCAGAATCCTCTTTCCCAGGTAATCGATTCTACACCGAAACCAGGCTCCACGAGCTTCAATACCGATAATACCCTCGCCGAAGGCCAGGTTTCGAATTCTGTGAATTTGGTTTCCCGGGAAGAGGAAACCCTAGATGGCGGCGGTGGTGGTTCGGTTATGGATGAAATGGAAGTTGACGACGAAAACCTAGAGGGTGGTTATGTTGCCCGTGAGTCGTTTTCTGTACCTGGATTTTTGAGGAAAGTGTTCATGGAGGAGCTGAACGAAGATAGTGGGCGTCATCACAAGCTGATCATAACTGCAATCCACGCGGTTATGCTGGATTCCGGTTTTGTCGGTTTCGATAAGAAAACGAACACCGTAATTAGTGGCTCCCATTTGCGTAATGAGTTGCCTTCGGATCTGTTTAGAGTGTCTCTGTTTTACACACTGCCGGAAACTGGTGGCAAATCCGTCAAGAACGTCGTGTTGAAATTTCAGAGCGTAGGGAAATTCATCAATGTATATGGTACGTTGGAGAACGGTTCGTCGGTGAAGAGGGCTAGTACGCATTGGGTGAAACTAAACGAGGATCAATTGGTTCCGTTTCTAAACGTTGTATGGGCCGACTGTGGGGAAGATGTATTGATGTTCGATACATCTCCGGAGAAAGAGGTGTTTGCATTCTGGAGGATCGTGAAGGATAATCTCGCGTTGCCTTTGTTGATCGATTTGTGCGAGGAATCCGGTTTGGAACTGCCCCCTTGCTTTATCCGACTACCGACCGATCTGAAACTGAAAATCTTGGAGTCTTTATCGGGCGCTGAGTTAGCTAAAGTGAGCTGTGTGAGCTCCGAGTTGAGGTATTTAGCTTCGAGCGATGATTTGTGGAAATCGAAGTGTGTGGAGGTATTTGGCGATGAGAGAAACGAGGCACGTTTGAGTTGGAAAAGGGTGTTTGCTATGGCTTGGGCAAGGCGGAAGAGTATTGTAGCTGCTCCTAGGAGGAGAGGGTTTCCGAATCCATGGATGGTGCCGCGGGTCCCACGAATGATTGGCGAGGAATTTGGGGATGTTTTATTACAACCTAGGATTCTCCATGCTTATGATCCGAGGAGGCGGAATTTTCCTAATTTAGGTGTTCGTGGTGGTGGTAGGTTCGTCTAGGTATGGTGTTTTTTCAAGGTGTTGTAATTTTACTGTTTTGAATTATGTTCATTTGCTTGTTTTCGGACTTCCAAATTTTCCGTTAATATGTTCTCGATGTTCTGTTTTTTGTAATTCAGTTGCTGGGAAAAATAGAAAGAATTTGTTTTTTTTTAATGTTTTTTTGTTTGTCTGCTGTTGGATTGTTCAGGTTCAAACCTGAATTCTTGAACTATACTAGGACTAAACTATGAAGAAACAAGAATCCAATTTTACCATGGAACTATCATGGGTTTAATTGTTAGATTTTTTATTTGGTAGGGGACCAATTGCCATAAAAATTCAAGGCATTCGACACCGTCACCACGTACAAATAAATAAACCTCTATAAATTAATCCAGTCGGGACTAGAGAAATTCTATTAATTTAACGAATTATTAAATTATCGACACCACATATAGATAAATCTCTATAAATTAATCCAGTTGGGACTAGGGAAATTCTATTAATTTAGCGAATTATTAAATTATTGACATCACATACCGATAAACCTCTATAAATACCTCTATAAATTAATCCAGTCGTGACTAGGGAAATTCTATTAATTTACCGAATTATTAAATTATTGAGTTAAAATACCTCTATAAATTAATCCAGTCGTGACTAGGGAAATTCTATTAATTTACCGAATTATTAAATTATTGAGTTAATAATTTAACACGTTTTTACGGAAACAGGACCGAGAGAAACTATTATTTAATCGAGATTATTGATTTATCGAGTATTAATTTATCGAAGTTCTACTTTATAATTATTATAAAGAAAAAAGCTGTTATTAAAAAATTCAACAATAATCACCATAATTATGAAGACGAAAAATTTTCTATTAAAAAAAATAATGGAGAGTTCAAAACATACTAACGCTGCTCATCTAAACCGAAAACAAAATCAAAGGTAAATATAAATTACAAACGATATGGGAATCTATGAAATCTTTTGGCAACGAACGTGGCACCTGACTCAAGAACGTAATTGTATCGGCCGGGATCCGAAACGATCGAAAAATCACTTCGACAACATTGGCACCAAAACTCAAATCGGTAAATTTCGACTTCGAAAGTCGAGTCGATCCCGATTGCTCTTTTGAAACAATAAAGCTTTTCACCTTTGTCCGTGTGCCTATCGCATTTATTGCACTTGAGCCCGAAAGGCATACTCATCCTCACCCTCTTCGCCGATTTCTTCGTCGTATACGGCTGCATGGCATCGATATGCTTAGTATCCATGTTCGAACGTGTTCTTTCTACTAAAACCCTAGAAAATATTTGTGGACGAATATATAAGTTATTCTAGCTTAATAATTGTTGACAATGTCTGATTATTTTCTGTGCTGATACATGTATATATAATATGTGATTTTGAGTTGGTTTAGAACTAGGACAAACATTATGTTATAGAATACAATTAGTAAGTGATTTTATTTTTATTTTATTTTTTATGATAAAAGACCTCTGATGAGATTAGGATTAAAAGGTGTTTAATATTCCTAGAAAAGCTTTAATTCGGTGAAGAGATAAAAAATTCTTTAACACAGCAAATTCAATAATTTTCAAATTAAACTTTTATAATTCTTAGGGCAATTACGGCCACCCTTGAGGTATGGTCAAATTATGAAAACACTTATCTTGTTTGGTAATTATAGCCACCTCTTCTTTAAATATTTTTTACACAAAATTTATGTAATTCGGTTATTTTCCGAATCAAATCGTATATTTAATTCAATAAACGGTATGAAATGTTGGCTTACCAAAATTTCGGTTGTAAAATTAATGATTTGAAAGTTAATTACAAATTAAATGAGACGAAATCTACCAAAATTTCAGTTATCAAATTAATGATTTGAAAGTTAATTACAAATTAAATGAGCCGAAATCTTACATCTAAATGACTTTTCTTTCATCTTTCTTTCATAAACTGTAAACCCTACTCATCGTTCCATCACAAAAAAAATTATTTTTTTCTTATGTTTCTTCTTCTTTGTTAAATCATACACCATGCTTTTAGCTTCCGTCTTATTTCGACCCTCTTCGTCGTTACCTTCGAGGAGCAACATCATTTGTATGTTTCTTCATCTCCTTCATGATGAGCTATAGAATGTATACCACAGCCAAAACTTATGCATAATTCAAATTAATTATTAGTTTCCTCATAGTTTACCGCATGCATAATAAGAAAAATCTACCAATATAAAGAAACTACGGCAACACATCGAACAACCATCACAAAAATTATATAAACAAAACGACATCCGACAAAGACAATAAAAAAGCCCCTGGCAAATAAAATCACTTTTTTTTCTTTATCAATCACAATCATCAGAAATTCTACTGAAGTTTTAATTTAATTAATTTCCATCGCATCATCAAATGCATTCTGAAGATTTCAACAAAACAAACCCTAACCAAAAATGATAACAAAGAACAATTTTCAAATTTATCAGCATCAACGGGATTATATTTGCCTAAATTATTATAGCATCACCGCGATTTCATCATGATGTTGGATCAAATGCTTTACACATTCAATTGGGAGCAGCAACTCTAGCAAACAAACAGTGGCCGAAGTATTTCCAGAAATAGACGAGAGATCTTTTTTTTTTTTTTTGAGAAATCAACAAGAGATCCGCCATTGAAGAAATGCTTGGTTTGATGTGATTGAGGCTGGGCTGCCTTTCCGCCATTTCTATTTCATCCGTTACGGAAATATGAAATTTAACAATAATTGTTGGAATTTTCATGATTTCCAATAATTAATATTGAGTAATATTAATTAAATTATGAAAAGATTAATTTTATTTATTTACTTGATCATAATCATTATGAAGTAAAGTGAATGAAAATTGTCTTGATTAAATGGTTAAAGTTCAAAAAATGTGCGCTCGATGTGATCGAGTGATAGGACTAGTTTGGGTTTAAGTGTCCACAAATATTATTGGTTTAATTGTTAGATTTTTTTATTTAGTAGGGGGTGAATTGTAATAAAAATCTTAATGTTTATGGCAATTGACAAGGCGTTTGACACCACATATAATTAATTACGAACAACAAAAACTTATTAAAAATTTAACAATTATCACCATAATTATGAAAACGAAAATAATTTTCTATTATAAAAAATAATCAAAAGTTCAAAACAAACTAAAGCGAAAACAAAACCAAAGCTAAATATAAATTACAAACGATACGGGAATCTATGAAATCTTTTAGCGACGAACGTGGTAAATATAAATTACAAACGATACGGGAATCTATGAAATCTTTTAGCGACGAACGTGGCACCTGATTCAAGAACGTAATCGTATCGGCCGGGATCCGAAACGATCGAAAAATCACTTCGACAACATTGGCACCAAAACTCAAATCGGTAAATCTCAACTTCGAAAGTCGAGTCGATCCCAATTGCTCTTTTGAAACAATAAAGCTTTTCACCTTTGTCCGTATGCCTATCGCATTTATTGCACTTGAGTCCGAACGGCATCGTCATCCTAACCCTCTTCGCCGGCTTCTTCATCGTATACTTGTGCATGGTATCGATATGCTTGGTATCCATCTTCGAATACATTTTTTCTACTAAAACCCTAGAAAATATTTGTGGACGAATATATAAATTACTCTAACTCGATAATTGTTGACAATGAATGATTATTTACGTGTTGATAGCATGTGTATATAATATGAGGTTTTGAGTTGGTTTAGAACTAGGACTATATATATAATATGAGGTTGAGTTGATTTAGAACAAACATTATATTATAGAATACAAATACCTATTTTATTTTTATTGTTTTTATGATGAAAAGACACCTAATGAGATTGGAGTAGCGGATAAAAAGGTGTTTAATATTCCTAAAAAAATTATAATTCGGTGGAGAGATAAAAAAATTCTTTAATTTAGCAAATTCAATAATTTTCATATTAAACTTTTATAATTCTCACGGCAAATTACGGCCACCGATGAGGTATGACTAAATTACGAAAAAACTCTTATTGTTTGGGTAATTACAGTCACTTGTTCTTTAAATATTTTTACATAAAATTTATGTAGCCACATGTTCTTTAAATATTTTTACACAAAATTTATGTAATTCGGTTATTTACCGCACCAAATCGTATATTTAATTCAGTAAACGGTATGAAAAGTTGGCGTACCAAAATTTCGGTTATAAAATTAATGATTTGAAAGTTAATTGCAAATTAAATGAGAAGAAATCTTACATCTAAGTGACTTTTCTTTCATCTTCTTCCATAAACTGTAAACCCTAATTATAGATCTATATATCATTTTTTTGTTCTCTTTTGTCTTCTTTGTTAAATCATACACCATGTTCTTCGCACCCGTCTTATTTCGACCCTCTTCGCCGTTACCTTTGAGGAGCAACATCGTTTCTTTCTTCATCTTATTAACGATGCGCTATATTATAACACCACAGCCAAACCTTATGTATAATTCAACTTAATTATTAGTTTCATCATAGTTTACCGCATGGATAATAAGAAAAATCTACCAATACAAAGAAACTACGGCATCACATCGAACAACCAGCACAAAATTCATATAAACAAAACGACATCCGACAAAGACAATAAAATTAAAGCCCCTGGGAAATAAAATCGCATTTTTTTTAATCAATCACAACCATCATAGATTCTACTGCAAGTTTTACTTAAATTAATTTCCATCACATCATCAAATGCTGAAAACCCCATTGAGGATTTTTTATTTATTTTTTTATTTTTTTGAAACTTTAGAAGTATCCTGCAACATAGGGATTAATTTGGATTTAGGTTTAATTTGGGGAATAACATTTGTGAGATTTTTAATTTTATTTGATGTTTAAGTTTGTTCATTAATTATTATAATTATAATAATCTTAATGGTTATATTAATCAATCGTTCTATTAAGTATTAGGTCGTAAAAAAAAATCAACGGAATTTAATAAATTTGTACGCTTAGGTATGGTGTTTTTCAATGTGTTTTAATTTTAATGTTTGAATTTCTGTTCGTTTGCTTATTTTCTGACTTCAAAATTTCCATTAAATGTTCTATTTTTGTATATTCTGAATTATTTAAATTTCAAAATCTTCCACGAATCCTATTTTACCATGTAACTATCATG